CAATGAACTATCAGAAAAAAATCCCTTTACTGTAGCAACAAGAAAGAAAAAAATCCCTTTACTGTAGCAACAAGAAAAATAAAGTACCTAGGAATAAATTTAACTAAGGGGATAAAAGTCCTGTACTCAGAAAACTATAAAACACTGAAAAAAGACAATGAGAAAGATACAAATAAATGGAAGTATATACCATATTCATGCATTTTAAGAATTAACATCACTAAAATGTCCACAGTACCTAAAGTAATCTATAAATTCAATGTAATTCCTATTAAAATATCAATAGTATATTTCACTGAACTAGAAAAAATACTTCCAAAAATTTATATGGAACGAAAAAACCCCAAATAGTCTCAACAATCTTGAGAAAGAATAAACTTAGAGGGAGCACAATACCTGGTTTCAAACTATACTATAAAGACTACTGTAATCAAAACAGTCTGGCACTGGCATAAGGAGAGACATACAGATCAATGGAACAGAAGGGAGAGCACAGAAATAAACCATGTCTCTATGGTCAATTAATATTTGACAAAGGGGGTATAAGCATACAATGGAGTAAAAATGCTTTCTTCAATACATGTGTTGGTCCCTGGCTGGTATGGCTCAGTGGATTGAGTGCCAGTCTGTGAACCAAAGGGTCACCAGTTTGACTCCCAGTCAGGGTACATGCCTGGGTTGTGGGCCAGGTCACCGGTAGGGAACGTGCAAGAGGCAACCACACATTAATGTTTCTCTCCCTCTCTTTCTCCCTCCCTTCTCCTCTCTCTAAAAATAAATAAATAAAATCTTTTAAAAAAATAAATAAATGGTGTTGGGAGAACTAAACTGGTACATGTAAGAAAATGAAACTAGATTAGCAATTTACACCATACACCAGAATAAACTCAAAATGGATAAAAGACTTAAATATAAGTCCTGATACCATAAAAGTCCTAACAGAAAACATAGGCAGTAAAATTTCAGATATCCCAAGTAGTAATATCTTTGCTGATATATCTCCTAAGCAAAGGAAATAAAGGAAAAAATAAACAGATGGAACTACATCAAATTAAGAAGCTTTTGCATGGCTAAAGAAACCATCAGCAAAATGAAAAGTGAACTGACTATATGGGAGAACATATTATATTTGCCAATGATACTTTAGCCATGGGTTTAATCTGCAAAATATATAAAGAACTCATAGGACTCAACACCAGGAAGACAAACAATCCAATTTAAAAATGGGTAAAGGACCTGATAGACACTCTTCCCAGGAGGACATACAGATGGCCCATAGACATACAAAAAGATGCTCAACATCACTAGCCTTCAGAGAGAGGCAATTAAAACCACAATGAGATACCACCTCACACCTATCAGAATGGCTATCAATAAATCAACAAAAAACAAGTGCTGGTGAGGGTGTGGAGTAAAGGGAACCCTAGTGCATTATTGGTGAGAAGGCAGACTGGTGCAGCCACTGTGGAAAACAGTATGGAATAGACTCAAAAAATTACAAATCAAACTGCCTCCTGACCCAACGATTCCACTGCTGGGACTATATCCTAAGAATCCCAAAACACCAGTTCAAAAGCACTTACGCACCCCTACATTCAAGCAACACTATTGACAATAGCCAAGTGCTAGAAACAATCTAAGTGCTTGAAACAGCCTAAGTGCCCTTCAAGGAGGTGAGTGGATCAAAAAACTGTAGCACAGTTACACAACTGAATACTATACAGCAGAAAGAAGGAACTCCTATCTTTTGTGACAGCATGGATGGAACTGGAGAATATTATGCTAATTGAAACAAGCAAGTTGGTAAAAGACATACGATATGATCTCACTTATAAGAGGAATTTAATGAATAAAATAAACTAATGAACAAAACAGAAGCAGATTCATGTAAACATGGAACAGACTGACAGCAGCCAGACAGGATGGGGGACGGGATAAGGGTGGAAAGAAGGGGAAAAGACTAGTCAAAAAACATGCATAAATGACCCATGGACATGGACAACAGTGTGGGGACTGACTGTGGGAGCTACAGAGAGCCTGGGAAGAGGAGGGAAAAAGGCGAAAAATTGGGACAACTGTAACAGAATAACAATTTTAAAAAACCCAATAATGTATTAAACAAAAACTCATTAAAAAGTTATAAAAAAACATCAAAAAAAAAAAAAAGAAAGTAATCCCACAGGGGGATCTCATCATGAATTCCTAAATGGGCAGGACATGGTGGGTATTCACACCCCAGGCATATAACTGCTTTAGAAAAATGGTCTATCTTTGCCTTAAGTCAACCCTGTCCATTATTTCCCTGCACCTAGGTGAACACACCTATGAAATGCCTATTTTCAGAACCACCCTCCAGAGCACACAATCTTCTTAACTATCCTATAATCCAATCCCCTGCCTTGTTTCTCTGACTTTCATGTCTTTAAATTTCTTTAAATTTCCTCCTTAATCCCAAATGCATCAAAGAAGCTGCAAAATGCCTGGGAAGCATTTTCCTCAGTTTGTTGAGATCTTGCTTCCAAGCATGGTTCGATTTGGTTTTTATAAAAATTCTCCAAACAATTTGAATTTCTTATGTCAACAATATACAAAATGCACTAAACATAAAAGAAAGTGTTAAATGGACTTCATTCAAATTTAAAACATCAAAAGATACCATTAGGGAAATAAAAAAAGAAGCCATAAATTAGGAGAAAATACTCATGATGTACATCAGGCTAAAAGCTCATATCCACAATATATAAAGAACTCCAACAAATCAATAATATAAAGTCTAACAACCCAATCTGAGCAAAAGATATGAACAGACACCTCACAAATGAAAGGACAAGGCCAGAGCCATTTGCTATCGTGGTGTCATTTGCTGAGCAGGCCTATAACCTTGTTAAATATGACTGCCATTTAACTCTTCTGAGCTTATGTCCCCAGGATCAGAAAATTATGGACAAGCAAGAACAAAACATGACTAACCACTCCCCACAGCCACAGGCAAATAATACTGGAACAAACTGCAGCTTACGCAAAACCAAACAAAATCTCCTGTACTGCAATGCCTCTAACAGTCCAGTAACCCACATAGAAACACCCCCCTCAACCCTTTATACCCAATAAAAGCTCAAAACCCCAATGCCTCAGGGCCAGAATAATTCTCCATGCCTCGCTCCTTTCCTCTCTTGGAAAGTGAACAAAACTTTTCCCTCTGCATTTCCCTCTCTTTGTGAATTCTTTCACAGCCCATGTCAACAGCCACCCTAACAACAAATATGAATGACCAACATGTACATGTGCTCCTCATCATCAACAGTCATCAGCAAAATGTAAATTGAAACCACAATGCTACCACTGCCACTCACTGGAATGGCTAAAATTAAAAAGAACTGCTAATACCACCTGATGGTGAGAATATGTAGCAAATAGAACTTTCATAAGCCATTGATACAAATGTAAAATAGTAAAGCTACACTGAAAACAGATTGGGAGTTTCTTATAAAGTTAAATATATATCTAGTCTAATTCTAATCCCAAATATGTACCCAAGGAAATTAAAACATACACTCACAAAAAAAAAAGAAAACACCCCTCACTGTACAAGAATGTTCATAGCAGTTTTATTCATTAATAATAAAACAAATGATAACTCCCCCAAATGTCTATCAACATATTAAAACCTGTGGTATGTTCATACTATTGAATACTACTCAGCAATAAAAAGAAATGAACTACTGATACATACTTTAACATGAATACATCTAAGAAACATTGAGTTTAAGAAGCCATTTGAAAAAAACTAGACATTATATATTTTAATTGCATTCATATGAAATTCTAGAAACGGCAAAATTACAGTGAGCAACTGGAACAACTGTTTCCTGGAAGGGGGTGGGGAGAACTGACTAAAAATAGGCACAAGTGTCTGTGTAGATAGCTAGAGATTAATACAGGAAGGGGGAAAAGAGAATCAGACATCAAGAAGCCCAATCTAGTAGGAAACAACAGCTTCACACACTCCCCTGGGGACTTCTAAATCCCCCAAGCAGGCAGAAAGGATCGTTAATTGGCCATTACGGAGGGACGGATAAAAAACATCAGCAGAAATTCCTCCACTGGGCACACGCCCAGTAAAAGTCAAGAGGGCCCCGGGGATGGTCCTGCTAGTGTGGCATGCTGCAGGAGGAACATGATGGTGACCATAAAGGCCCATCAGTCCAGCCTGGGAAGAGGATCAGACTGGATAAGGGGCACAGAACCCAGGAGACCTAGCAAACGGATTGGTTAGAGGGAGGCAAGCCCACAAAAGCTTGGGAAATTGATTGGTTCGTTTAAAGAAAAGCCTGGTTCCTCACAAACCTGAAATAATACAGTTAGCCAAACAAGAAGCACTCTCTCTGCCCCCCAATAGCATGCACTCACCCCATTCACGTGTTTTCGCTCCACAGCAGCCATGTGGACCCTAGCAGCACGTGGTGGTAGCCACGCAGGCCTCAAACAGGCTCCACGCCAAGCCTGGGTACTGGATACAGCACGAGAACAGCTGGAAACTGGACTAAGCTTTGAAATGGACTAAACTTTGGTATGCCACAGAACCTCTGGACACTGGCCATATTTCTGAGCCTGATGAAGACAAGGTTGGACTTTCTCAACGGCGAGGTAGGCGGAGATGAGATCCTGGCAACCTGAATGTAGCCTTCTATTTTCACCCAAAATAAATCTTACCACGCCACAACCTCCCGTACATAGGTCCCTGGAATGCTTTCCTTGTGACTCTGAAAGAACGTGATTTCTAACTGGCAAACCAAGTAAACTTACAGAGTAAGGAAAATAGTCTATATCTTAATTGGAGTGGTAGATACAAGTTTGTCACATTCATAAAAATTTGCTGAACTCATTTAACAAATTCATTTAAAATCATTACATTTTATTAAATGTAAATTATACCTTTAAAATGGTAAAATTAATTGACTGCATATAATAGTCACACAAAACATACAAAAAACAAATACCTTTGTCCACCTGCAAAGCTTCACCCCAGAATGGCTCCCAATCAACTGATAACCTAAATGGAAAAACAGGGAACACAAAATTGAATTGATTCAAAGCCTCATATCAAACAGTGATTATAAAACAAGCAAAATCATTTTTCTTTGCTTAAATAATGATAGACGACAACCCAGTGGCAGAAAACATTAAAAGTTTAATTGACTAGGATGACAAAACAATTTAAAATGTGCATGCACCTAATAACATACACTTAGAATGCATAGAGACAATAGGCTAATCCAAAATCACAGGGAGAGATTTTAACAACTCTCAGTATCTAACAGATCCCACAGACCACAGTCAGTAGACCTCCAAGATCTACACAGTAAACTAAGTCAAGGGCACATAGCACTGCACTCAACAGCTACTGAAATGCTTTTCAAAGATGCAAGAAACAATTATAAAAATTAACTGTATGCTGGGCTATTAAATAAAAGCTGTATGCTGGGCCAATATATTTCAAATGAAGAATCAGAGGGGCAATAGGAGGTTAAAATGAAGAAATATTGCCCCCAAAAAGTGGAAAAATCAAATTCTAGGACCTACAACTTAATGTAAATTCTCAGCACCACTCTATAACCTACCATTTAAAATTCTGAGTCATGTAAGACTTGAAAAGCATGGAAAAACCATTCCAAAGTAATCATATTTCCTTTTATAACAAACTAATAGAGAAAACAAGTAGAACATTCTGATTCCAGAAACATTTAATAAAGCTTCCCATCAAGCTTCAAGTAATAAGCCATAATTATCATGAGTTTCTTGCACAAAAAGACTCTTGACTTGCAGACAAATAAGGCAAATGGAGAAACACAGTCTGAAGGATGGCACAAGTGGATCAGTGGCTGGTTAAACATCCATGCTCACAGTGTGATGTTTAATGGGACAATGTCACTTTGGACTGTAAGTCTCTAGTGGCAACATTACAGGGCTCTTTTATCCCCCTCCACATTTACGTAAACATCCTGAATACAAGTAAACAAAGCAGTACTTATCTAATTGAAGATGAAACTGAGTCCAACTGAATACCTAATCTCATACAGAGAATAAACATTTAAAAGATTCCCAGACAAAATTCTAGTTTTTTTGGACTCCTACATTATGTGGTATTCATATCACTATTATAGAAACCACACAGTTATATTACATTATATTACATTATATTATGATATTAGTTCTTTATATCATTCTCTCTCAAGATACAGAGGGTTCTACAAAATTTTGCATTTAGATAGGTATGAAAAAACCTGTACAGAATGGAGAAACCTGTGGCTGACCACACCAAGATAAGCCAACATTATGCAGTCGTTGAAAATCATAGTGCAGTGTTCTGCTTCTAAACAAGATGGAATAACAGATGGTGTCCTCTCCTACCAGAAATACCAAAAAATGGACAAAATATATAAAACAACAGTTTTCAAGATAAGACATATCAAGCAACAAAGAATGGTGATCTCAGAGAGATGGGAATCAAACAAGGCAAACCCTACCATTACCCAATCTTACTACCTTAAAAGTTTCCAGTCCCTGAGGCAGGGAGGCAACTGCCAGCGCAGTGTTCTCCCTTAGTTGAGGACATGGGAGTGAGAGTATGAAGAGCCCACATGGCTAGAGTGAGCAGGATGGAGTACCTGAGAGACAAAAGCTACCTAGAGACTGAAGTCAAGAGTCTGCAGGGGAATCCTACAAGTATTGTACTTGTGTACTGCTTAGTGCATATGTGAAAGAAAACTACCCATGAGTGGGAACAAACCATACTGACAGGATTAGAGGTATGACTGCTGCTCACAGTCAGCTGGGAGCTGTGCCTGTTCCTGCCAGCCAGACAGGAAACCTCAAGATTCGCAAGGCATGGGGCAGAGTACACAGGAGTATTTTGCCTCAATGGGGGAAATAATTACAGTAGCTATGTACAAAGTTGTGTCTGTTCTCACCTAACAAGTCATAAAAGATCAAAAGGCTCAAAATTATTTCCAAGTAACTTATCTTACTCCCAGAACAAAGCTTAAGAATGTATACGGAAATTCAAAAATATCTAACACCTAATAAGGTAAAATTAGATCTGACATCCAAAGATTACCAGCATGCACACAGATAGGAAAACATGACCAATAATGAGGAAAATAACCCAGCAACCAAAACTGACCCAGAAATGACCCACGTGTCAACAGATCAGAACATTAAAACAGTTATGACTGTGTTCCCTAGGTTCGAAAAATTAAGTAGAAACATAAAAGATATAAAAAGACCCAAAATGACCTTCTAGAAATGAAAACTACACTATAAAACTACTATAAAATATATACTAGATAGAATTAATGGAAGATTAACCATTAGGGAAGAAATGATTACTAAATTAAATTTGGAAACACAGCAATGGGAACTATCCAAAAATGGAAAGTAGGACAGAAAAAAAGAATTTTAAAAGACCTAAAGAGCATCAGTGAGTTCTAGGTCAATTTCAAGTGGCCTATGATACATGTAATTGGAATCCCCAAGGAAGAGGAGAGAAAAGAGGTGACAGAAAAATATTTGAAGAAATAATGGACAAAATGTGTCCCAATCTGACTAGCCTATAAATCTACAGAACCAAGAAGTTCAAGAAATCCCAAGTAAAAGAAACATGAAGAAAACTACCTTAAGACATATTATAATGAGACTGCTCAAAATCAGTACTTTGGAGAAAATCTTCCAAGTAGCCAGGGAGTGAAGAAAATTACATTCAAAGGTCCAAACAAAAGATGACTGCAGAGCTCTCATCAGAAGCAATGTGAACAAACAGCAGGACAACAAGACAATAAAAGTCGTCAACCTGCAATTCTATGTCCATCGAAATATCCTTCAAAAAGGAAGGCAAAGTAAAGCCTTTTTGAGATATACAAAAGCTGACACAATTCATCACTAGCAAATGTACACCGTAAGAAATGCTAACATAAGTCCTTCAGGAAGAAGAAAAAGGTTATCAGAGAGAACTCAGATCTACACAAAGGAATGAAAAGCTGCAGTAGTCAATATATAATTTGTTTCTAATTATTTAAATATTTAATAAATAACTGACTAAACCAAAACAAATAATAACAATGTAGTATAGCGATTATAACTTATGTAAGAAGTACAATGTATGATAACAATTGCACAGAGGTTGAGAAGGAGAAAAAAGAAGTATACTACTGAAGGTTGCTCACTATGCATGAAGTGGCATACCACCACACAGACATTCTTTGATATGACAAAGAGATGTGGTATAGACCTCAAGCAGTCACTAAATAGCAAAGCAGTGCAACACCTGATAATCTAACAAAGAACATAAAACAGAATTATTAAAAAAATTACTTTAAATCGTCTATATATCCAAATTAAAAGACAGACTTTATATATATTATATGCACAATATTTATAACATTTATACACATATATTACATATATAATTGGTATATTCTTATTGGTCTCCTCTAACAGGCTAACAATGGTTCTTTGAAGGAAATACTGCATTATGTTTCTCTGCATTGCTCTAACTGTCACATAAAAGGTTCTCAATAAAAACAGAAAGAGGGAGGGAGGGGAGTCAATCTATTGTCTCCCAATTCTCCTCTCTCTTCTACAGAAAACCAGTATTATTTGTACATTCAACTACAGCCTCCTTAATAAGGAATGACCATAAAAATCCAGACATACTTCTAGATAAAACACTGGTAATTAGCACAGAGTAAAATCAATACTTTTTTCTGTATTTAATAATTTTCCCTTAATAAACAGTGATCAGTAAAGAAGCCAGTGATGGCATTTTCTGCCTGCCTACCTGAGCCACACAGATGCTAACGTCCCAATAAATCAAGCCAAGAGGAATTTGCTGGCCCAGGCGGCCAACACACAAGTGAGTCACAGATATGGGACAGTGACTCCTGAGACGGCTACACTGACACAGTAACACAAATGCTGGGCAACAGAAGGGCTCCATTACCAACTTTCCCCTTGGCAATCTTTATTTTATGCTTCTGCTTTTAGGTATCAAATTAGAATGCTTAAGGACATAGTATTATAACAATTCTCAAGGGTTTTCACCTTGTTTAGTAAGGGCTTCTCGGAGAGCAGGAGTTATCATAGCTCTTCTTTCACCGGCTTCCTTCTTCACCGTGTTCCTGAACAAACCAGTTTTCTCTTCCTGCTGCTCCTTTTCTCTCTGTATTAAAATAAAAAGAATGAAAGCCAGAAATGGCAATGTGCAATGAAAATAACAGCACAACAACCACGAACAGGAAGCATGGATAAAAAGCTTCATTGTGAACAATGGCCCACAACCCTGTTCTCTCAAAAGTGACCATGTTTCCAGTCAGTGATCTACAGACAAGCCAGTCCTTTTTTTTTCCTCAAAAAAGTAACTACATACTCAAATACATACACCCACAAAACATAAATTAATAATCATGTATCTATATGTCAAATATTTTAATACACTGAAGCAAACCGCTGTGTAACTTCAGCAACTCATTTCCCTGAGTTTCAATTTCCTCACCTGAAAAATGGGGAATGTAGTATCTATACAGCAGGAAGGTAGTGAAGATTAAATAAAACGAAATCACCTGGCACAGTGCCTGACAATGGAGTTCAGTCAATTATAGCTATTACAGGTTATTGTCTCTGCAACCCCAAACGCAAGTCAAAAGAGAACTCTGGGCTGCCCAAACAACTATATGCCCAGCAACCAAGTCATTCTGCCACCTCCACCGGCTGCCCCATTGGCTCCTTTTAGAAGATCCCATGAGGAAAATTTGTCTTCAGTGACAGAAAAAAATCTGAAGGATAAAACTGACTGCGTTTCCTTCTGACTCTGACCACTAGAAAATTCCACAGTACACCTCCGACCATTGTATAAGGTCTCGCACCATGCGTCTCTTGTAGTTTCTGTAAATGGCTTCAGATTATAAAATGACCCTCATCCACCCTTTGCACTGATTTCTCCCTCTCTTTTTGAATCTTATTATATGTATATACTTTTTTTTAAGATTTTATTTATTTATTTTTAGAGAGGGAAGGGGGGAAAAGACAGAGAGAGAGAGAGAAACATCAATGTGCGGTTGCTGGGGGTTATGGCTTGCAACCCAGGCATGTACCCTGACTGGGAATCGAACCTGCAACACTTTGGTTCACAGCCCATGCTCAATCCACTGAGCTACGCCAGCCAGGGCTATATGTATATACCTTTTTAAAAAATATCGCAATGTCTTGCTGGAAGATGGTAGAGGGCTAATCGATATTTTTGAAACAACACACAAAGCCTGCACTACACTTTAAAGAAATTACTCATCAGACCTAAGAGCTACAGAAATTCAAAACAACTCACGTTGGCAGCAGCCCTATCACCAAGCCCTAGACCACCCTCAGTGCCTGCCCGTTTCCAATGTACAGCCCCCAGGGAACCCATGAACAGACTCACAGTAGTAGCCTCTCTGCCTAAAAATGAAAACACCTCACAGATGACATTGTGTCTGTGATCCACACCAAACAAATACAGAAGGGAGGACGGTTCCTGTTTGAAGCTAGGCAACAGGTGATAGGGATTCACTGTATCATTCTGTCTACCTTCGTGAAGGTTCAGTGTTCTCTATACATAACATGTAAAACAGATTAAACATTTTTTAAACAAAGAAAGGTAAACTAATTAAATTCAGAGTTAACTTCTCTACCTCCTCTGTTATTTTAACAACTTGCTCTAAAATAGGGCGTCCATGAAAAAGCACTTTAGTGTGGTGGTTGCTGCAAGGAGAGGGTATAAGGGGACTAAATGGTAATGGAAAAAATATATAATAAAAATTAAAGAGAAGCACTTTCGAGAGTCAAATGTACCAAATGGGAAACAAACCAAGCTAGTCTGATTTATTCTAAAGGTCAGCATTCTAAACCACTGAATATAATCAAAATGCAAAGTTAACGAACAATTCGGCTTCTGTTAGTAGAGTTCTCAACTGCACATTTTCAGATGGAACTGAAAAAACATACAAACAAACATCAATCATTTGTTCTTATCTATCATAAAAGTAATGTTTGATGCTGGGCATTTTTAATAAATTAGAAGGATCCAGTTGTTATCTTAAGATATTTTTTTAAAAAAGAATCCTTTGCTTTTTTTTTGAAGTCTATTTCAGACCTAAAATCAAAGAAGTGAACCGAAAAGGAAGTCTTGTGGTGAAGCAAAATGAAACCAACCTTGACCTTGACCGCATTTAAATGTCTCTGAAATAATTCCACAGCAAGTTACTATAAGTCCCTATTAATGATGCAAGAAATGAAAGGAGGTGGCAGCATTCACTCTAGAAAGGCACTGTCACCACAAAACATCACCAGCTGATTTGCTTATCACAAAGACCACATAAACCAAAAACTGGACCCAGCCCATGACACTGGCCTCTGGCCACTGTGCTCAGAATTCTACAGACACCATCTTATAACAAAAAAACCCTTCTGACCTCTATGAAATTAATATACTCTTAAAAGAATGGCAATGGAACACAGTCTGTGTCCCAGCACTAGAGAAATTATCTATTATAAAATGTGAGTGTAGATACTCCAGAATCAATAATTTAGACACAAAGTTAATACAGAAAGAGATCAGAGGCTGTGATTAAAAGTCTTGAGCATTCAGGAAAAACAACATTCATCATTCTTTGCCTCTATGGAGCTTAGCCCTATCTTCCATATGCAGCAGCAACTTCATTTCTGAAAAGAAATACAACAGTTCATAACACTCCCAAAGGAAGTCAAAGCACCATTCAAATTCTAATTCCAATCTCCTATCTGTAGATACTGTTCACTGTTTACCTAGATCATAACACTAAAACAATATAACAAGTACTAGAACCTATGAATTGTTATTTTTTTATAGCTGTTACATAGCCTAAGCAGAAATAAATAAAGATCCCAGAACTGGTCAACCTTTCTTTATTCCTCTCTCTCCTGCACACCAATTTAACAAGGTTCTCATTCCCAGCAGCACATTGTCCTCCGCATCTGCAAAGCCACTGCTTTTGCCCAAAGCCCTGGTTTCTTCTAAGGGAAAACTGCAACAGCCGAACTAAATGGTCTGCCTGTGTCCAACCCCTACTCATACCCCTTCCCCAGCTCCCAAACCCATTGCACTTGCCTGGAAAGGAAACACCCTCTCCAAGTTGCTGTTTCCCAACATGCAAAAGAAAACCTGATTATGAGGTAACTTCCTAGGCACTTGAGAAAATGAATATAGATACATGAAAAGTTCTTTATAAACAAAATAGGCTATATGAATCTTATGTAATAATGGGACCAAAAAGTAGTACTAATTTTTTTAAAGATATTACACAATGTCACTTAACTCATTTTCACACCATCATCCCAGAAACCACAGTACTACCCCAAAACTGCCTATGATAGAAACAAGGCAAAAAGGTGATTTGTTAAAGATCTTAAGGTAAAATGCCATCTAGCTGGATGATGCCAAAAAGGTGCTTTGCAACAAACAAGCTTTTCATTACCAAAGCATACATTTCTTCTACAGGGGAAAAAAGTGTTGCTGGTTGTTCATTTAAATCTGTTTATTTTATTGATCCTCGTTTACCATCAGGTAATACCCTTCCTTACCAATTCACGCAGAAGACATTGGATACCAAATCTCCAGGTCATTTTTCTGTACAGCCAGTCTGTCTAAACCTGGAACCATGCTACAACAGGGTGGGCATTCAGAGTGAATGTTGGCCAGTAAATGAATAAATGACTCAAAACCACCAGGCAGCTATTTCTGGCTCTAGAAAAAACAGATCTCACTTCTTTCAGTAACTCAGTCTAGATCTCACAACTTTCAACATCAGAGTCTTCTGCAGATGTAATTAAAACTCACCTCCTGCAATTTAACCCCACGTCTGCAGGTTCCCCTCTCTCTCTAATAAAGGAATCCCCTACATACCACTCACTCATCAGAGCTCAGTTTTTAAATGACCAGTTTTCAACAGGACTCAAAGCTTTTTGTGTGCACTACGTCTTAAGGATGCTTTGTGAACTTTTTGAAGCAGTTTGACTGGGTGTGTCAAGAGCTTTAAAATGGTTTCCTCTGGCCCAGTGATTCTATTTTGTATAACCTGACTTAAGGAGTTCACTATTAAGTTCACTATTAAGGAGTTCACGGTGAGCAGGCTGATTTACAGGCAGTGTCTTGAAGTTGAAGGGATGTCACCTTTTGTTTCTGTGAAAAGTCAAAACATTGGAAGCCCTAAAAATAATTATGAAAGGAGAACTAGCTTCATTTTATTCCACTGCTGTACTCTGCAACTTTATCATCCAAAATGGACACACTGAAATCCTTTTATAAATGGAAATAGTTCTCCGGTGAGTAATTACCAAGTATTCACCATTTATTTCCAATACTGATGATACTGATATCACTGTTTGTCTGCTTAACCAGAACATGCTGTGGGGAGCACTTAGCAATATTTACTTACTGCAGGAAAAAATATAGCAATCCCCTTTACATTTACAAATCACCATAACATGAGAGAAAAAGAAAATAAGCAAACTAAAATCATCAGGCCCTTCCTGACTCATGGTTCTCCAGCCATCCGACTTCGGGCAAACCGCTATGCTTCTCTCAGCCCGTTTCCCACCCTGTGGGATGTGAAGATGACGGCAGCATGGGTACCAGGGCCATCGTGAGTGCTGAGTAGGATAACCCCATGTGCACTCTGATTTCTGCTAACACTGTGGACCTGCACGCTGGAACATCCTCCCTCCCCACACCCCACCCACTCATCCTATCCCATCAAGTGAACACCTGGTTTCCCAATGCCATTAGAATAAAGCTCACGCCTGTGACAAAGCATGAAAAGGCCTCCAGGGTCCTGCCCCATCACTTCTCAGCCTTTGGGCTCAGATCAAGTGCAGAATCCTGCCCTTGCCTTCTTTATTTCACATCTCTACACATCCCCATCCCCTCTCGATTCTACACACACAAAACTGTTTATAGAGTTCCCCAAAACATGCTATGCTCCCTAGAAGACCATGCCCTCTGTATCTGTCCTCCTAACCTTCCAGTGTTTCAAACTCTAGCTCTCTTGATTTTGAACATCACTCCCACCCTTCAATTTCTGTTTGGCCTTAGAATTACTGTCTTAGACCTTGCTTAGACCTTGCTTAGACCTTAGACCTTAGACCAAGGCA